GGCCCCCGGGCAGGCTGGGGTGCGGGGTGCTTCTGCCCCGTCACACAGCTCCCCCTTTAAAGGTCCCTTTACCCCTGGTCCAGGTCTCCCTCTGGGGTGTCCTTTCGGGAGAAGAAGTCCGTGGTCCCGTGTTGGGTGCCAGCTCGGTGGACCACGTCAAAGGTGTACGGCTGTAAAGAAAGATACCAGCGCTAGATCCTGGTGTTTGAATCTTTCATATTCTGCAGCCACCGTAACGGGGCATGGTCCGTCACCACCGTAAACCAACTGCCCCACAAGTAGTACCGTAGTGTCTCTATCACCCATTTCACGGCCAGGGCCTCTTTCTCTATGGTTGAGTAGTTACGTTCTTGGGGAAACAGCTTGCGGCTTATATATATTACCGGGTGCTCGACCCCTTCCCACTCTTGGATAGGACCGCTCCCAGCCCTTCCTTGGAGGCGTCCGTTTGTACTGTGAAGGGCTTATTAAAATTGGGTTGGGTTAGGACGGGGGCCCCGGTCAGGCTGTTTTTAAGTGTCTGGAAGGCCTCTCAGGCCTCTGTCCACACCACCTTGTTAGGGCGTGCTTTTTGTGTCAGGTCTGTCAATGGGGCTGCCAGGGACGCAAAGTGGGGTACGAATCTCTGGTAATAACTGGCTAGTCCCAAGAATTGGCGGACCTGTCTCTTAGCCCTGGGGGGCGGGTATTCTCACAGTGCCCCCACTTTATCGACTAGGGGTCTTACCCGGCCTCACCCCACCGTGTAGCCTTGATACGTCACCTCTCGTTCTCCGAAGTGGCACTTGTTGGGGTTCGCTGTTAGCCCCTGTGACGTAGTGGGGGTAACTTGCTAGGGCTGTGGCGACCTCTGCTGTCTGTAGCAAGACCCAGCAGGGAAGGGGGGAGTCATTATGCAAAGGTGGCTCCAAACCGGTCTGACCAGCCACCCCCCATGGGGAGAAACAAAGGAAGGTGGAATGCTGCCCTGGCTGGGGGCAGGGCTGGAGGAGAGTGGGTTAGTTCCTGTCTGGAAAACAGGGGAGAAGGAACTGGGGAGGGGGCTGGGACTCCCCCATCTCAAGGGGGGCACTGAGGCCTCTTAGCCCCAGTTCCTGTAACCAGATTACATCTGTGCTGTGCTATATCCTGGAGAAGCAATAAACTATCTCCTTCTACTGGCTGGTGGAGTCTGTTCATGCCATTTTGGGGTGCAGGAGATGGGGGACCCCAACGCGCCATCACAGCCCCACCTCTTGCAATGTCCTTAGGACGGCCTGGAGTCTTATCAGGTGCTCTTCCCAGGTTTCGCTGTATATGACAATGTCGTCGATGTACGCCGCGGCGTATGGCTGGTGGGCTTTTAATACTTTATCCACCAGTCGCTGGAATGTAGCGGCTGCGCCATGTAACTCGAACGGCATACGCACGAATTGGTAGAGTCCGAATGGCATGGAGAAGACTGTTTTCTCCCTCGATATGACAGTGAGGGGGATCTACCAATATCTGCCACTATCCCTTGCTCAGGTCCATCATCGACAGGTAGTGAGCTTGGCCCTGGACGATGCATAGAATCGGGAGATGCTATTAACTTTTCGAAAATTGATGCAGAAGCATATCAAGCCGTCGGGTTTCGGTACTAGTACGATCGGGCTGCGCCAGTTGCTATGGGACTCTTCAATCACCCCCCACCAGAGCATCTTTTGGATCTCCTCCCTCACCGTTTCTCAAGCTTTCCTTGGTAGGGGCCGTACAGGCTCTCTCACCGTCTTTCCAGACTCGGTGTCCACGTGGTGGTAGGCTCGGGTCGTATGCACTGGCTGCTCGGTCAATACGTCGTTGTGTCCTTGGAGCAGATGTTATAGCTCCTCTCTCTGTTCCGGGGTTGGTTCAGGGTTCACTCTGGGTTTCTGGGGCGTGGTGCGGGTCGTACCTCTGGGCCCCAGGTCTATATCAGACTGCCAGGTCCAATATTAACCCTTCCTGATTCCTCCAGGCCTTTAAGAGATTGACGTGGTAAATCTTCGTTTCCCTGCGGCCCCAGCTAAGCGCACCTCATAGTCTACCTCCCCCACACGCCTGACCACTTCAAAGGGCCCCTGCCACCTGGCTAACAGTTTAGAGTCTTGTGTGGGCAGCAGGAGCAGGACTCGATCTCCTAGCTCGAATGTTCTTAGGTAGGCCCCAATGTTATAATGGGCTGCCTGCCGGGCCTGTGCCTTCCGCTGATGCTCCTGGGCGAAGTCCCCAAGGGTTTTTAACTTTTGCCTCAGTTCTAGGATGTATGGGACTGAACCCTTCACCCGCGTCTCCTGGGCCTCCCAGCTTTCCCTTACAATGTCTAGTACCCCCGGGGTTGCCTCCCATAGATGAGTTCAAAGGGGGAGAACCCCGTCGAGGCCTGGGGGACCTCCCTTACTGCAAACATTAGGGCAGGTAACAAGCGGTCCCAGGTGCGAGGGTCCTGTTCCGCAGACTTCCTCAACATGCTCTTCAGAGTCCTATTGAACCGCTTGACAAGGCCATCAGTTTGGGGGTGATATACGGAAGTCCGTAAGGTACATATCCGCAACAGACTACACAGCTCCGCCAGGAGCCGAGACATAAAATTTGTCCCTTGGTCCGTGAGTATTTCTTTGGGCACTCCCACCCGGGCGAAGATCTTCACTAACTCGATTGCTAATACTTTCATGGTCGTCGTCCTCAGAGGGATGACTTCGGGGTATCGGGTGGCGTAGTCCATAACTACCAGAATGTATTGGCACCCGGTAGTTGTTTTTTCTAGTGGGCCTACCAGGTCCATGGCCACCCTCTCAAAGGAAACGCCTATAACCGGCAGGGGGATGAGGGAGGCCTTAGAGATTCCCTTGGGGCTCATGCGTTGGCACTCTGGACAGGATAGACAAAAGTCTTTAACCTCCCGGTAAACGCCTGGCCAATAAAACCGTTGGAGGATCCTACGTACCGTCTTCTCATAGCCCAGGTGCCCAGCCCAGGGGTTGGCGTGGGCCAGCCCCATCAACGGGCGATGGTACTGGACAGAGATCAACAGCTGTCTAAGAGTCCCATGCTCTTCCACCCCTTCTGTGACCCTGTACAGCCGATCGCGACATACCTCAAAGAATGGGCCGACGCGTCGGATTGCGTGCTCTTCCTCCACACCGCCCTCCTCTCCGGCCGCTGCCCAGGCATGCTGTAGGGTGTGGTCGTCCCTCTGTTCCTGGAGGAAGTCGCCATCCCAGGGTTCCAGGGGGGCCTCGGTAACCAGCAGTTCCTTCCTTCCCTGAGGGTCCACCGGCCTACTTTCGGCGCCATCCGGGTGGTCGGCGAGTTCCCCGCTTTCCCCCAGCATTCCTTCTGCGCCCTCTTGGCTCTTTTGGTTCCCCTATTCGCCCATCACATGACGGAACCCTTCCCAGTCACGTCTAAGGAGGGCCGGATAAACTAGCTTGGGGCCACCACCACGAAGGCCCAGCTTTCGTGAGCTCCGTCGACTATCTGGGCCAAGGCCATTGCGTACTGGTGTACGTCCCCATGGACACACTGGACCAATACCGGTGGCCCCCAAGGACCCTGTGTTCCCACCAGGTCCTCCCTGACAATTGTTTGGCTACAGCCCGAGTCTATCAGAGCTTCCACCACACGGCCTTCAATCCTCACCTGTCTCTGCGACTTGGACCCCTGTCTGCTGCTCCAGCTACAACCACTGCCAGGCCGCCTCTCATAGTCTCTGGGCTATAGCCCTTGGCCGCTCTCCCGTTGTGTACCGTTCTCTTCGGAATTTCTGTCTGTACGTCTCGGGAGTGATGCCGAGCTGGTCCAGAACGGCTTCTTTCACTTTGTAATAGTGTAACGCGTCACGTATGCCCAAGCTCCTATAAGCCATCTGGGCTGGTCCCGTCAGGTACGGCGCTAATATGGTAGCCCACTGGTCCTCAGGCCATCTCGCAGCGGATGCGACCCGCTCAAATGTGGTTAGGAATGCCTCTGGGTCGTTGTCAGGCCCCATCTTGGCTAGCCTAACGGGGGCCATCAAGGGACCCCCGCCTTTGTCTCCTTCACCCGTCGCAGGCCCTGAGGTCGCCATCCGCGCCGGCCCATACTGTTGCCTCCACCAGTCCTGCTGGGCTTCAAACTGCTCCGCCAGCTCGTGCACCAGCTGCTTCTGCTGCTCCAAGTGCTGCGTGGAGAGTTGCTATATGAGCACGGTCTGTTGTTGCTGGTGTTGCCTTTGATTCTCCATCAACCAGTCGTTTACTTTTGCCGGGTCCATCTCGGTGCCTTTGGACCTTGAGTGAGGCAAGGGGATAACAAAACCACACTGCTCCCTCCGTTCGGGGTTTAAAGTGTCCACATTCTCCACCATCTGTAAACGTACTTGTCTGCGGGTGCGTTCGCCCTTCCCGCCTCTACCCCTAATCCCGTGCTCCCATCACCCCGTAGATCGCCTCCCGGTGTCCTAGTCAATTGTACCTTCGGCCCACCGGCCTCTTTCGCGTCGGAGGTCGGCCCACCCCCTCTCACAGACCACGGCCCAGGGCCCTAAGGACTCGGACATCAAGGTTGTCTGGTCCGGCTGGCAGGGCGTCTGCCTTAACGCACCAGCCTGCAGGCTCCCTTTGCCCACCCTGGTCTGCTTCCTCTCCCCACCTGGGTTTGACCCACCGAGTCGGGGCTTACCTCCTCGGCTTGGGGCCCCTCCGTTGTCCTCTTCCCTGGGAGGACACTCTCGGCTCTCCCCCTTTCCAGCGCCTCTATCCGGGGTTTAAATCCCCGCGCCGCTGCTCACCGGTGGGGCACCTCCCGGCTCGGCGTGGGTCCGCTTCCGGCCCGGCGTTGCGGCTGCAGGATGACGTCACGCGCCCCGTGACATCACCAGGCTTCC